GGGAAATATTTTTCATAAAATATACAAAACTTTCTTTTTATTATAGGAAAAATGATTTTTGAATATAAATGATCATCTGCTAATTTTTACCTAAATATTTCCCTAATTATTCCTTAATATCCCTCTAAATTCCTTATAACTAATTGAAACTTTTTACCATTCCTCAGTTGTATAATCAATGTTTTATAAGAATATATTTTTGTATAAGAATTTTTACCATTAAATGAAAGTAATATTTTATCGTCTTTATATATAATTTTCTATAATTAAATTCTATTTTTGGATAGATTAAGATGCGGTGTCACGCAATTATTCCATACAAAACTATTGTTTATCTGTAGGTACTCCATCACTAATTTACTTGGATAATACGACATTTTAACTCNAAACTATTGTTTATCTGTAGGTACTCCATCACTAATTTACTTGGATAATACGACATTTTAACTCGATTTAACGATTAATTGGTGGTTAGAAACAATTTAAAGTGTTTAAGATTGTTTTAATCCCAAAATAGAAAGATAAATTTCATAAAATTAACTAAAATTTGCGATTTTTACATGGTTATGGGACTTGTAAAGTGAGGATAACAATTTTAGGAAGAAATTTTAAGTAATTTTTGGCTGAATTAATCGAAATTAAAGGCAGAATATTCGATATAACAACATTCTAGGCTGATATATATATGTAGTCTACAGTAGACTCCCGTTTTTACCACCTAAATTGGTCCCGTCGTTAAGCGAGCCGCCGTCGTAAATCGAACCATAATTTCTCATAAGTTCAGTGTCATAGATTTAAGAAAGTACTGAGCTTTTAAGAAAGTACAATAATTTTTTTAGTTTAGAGAATTGTTGTGAGAAATTTAGAGTTTATTATCTATCCCCTTCCATAGATATAGAGATGCTCTTTACGTTTAAAGCATCATTAATCTCTGTAAATCTTCTCTGAGGATATAAAGATGGAGATTCATAGAGACAGAGATGTTCTTTCATTCGGTTCCTTATGATAGAAATTCTCATAGATAGTTTCTATGAATTATCACGCAAAGAAGAATGGCTGATTGGATCCCTTGCAAAGTTTAGATTTAGGAGCTTGCCGGCTCGCAGGACACGACAGTTTTGTCCTTAAAATTGATGCTTTCTCACTATATTTGTATTAAATTTGAATATAAAACATTATCAAAGTAACTTCTGAAAGTTTGGAACAGGTACGCTCATATTTTCTTAGTCATAGAGGATGGAGATGCTGCAGCATCTTCATCCTCTATCAATCTCTATAGAGATTGAGATATTCTATTTTGTATAGATCTTCGAGGTAGAGATTCATAGAAAGAGAAATGCTCTTTAAACTGGAGATTCAGAGAGTTCTAGAAGAGCTATGGTTATAGAGAATTGAGTTAGAGATGCTCTTTAAATTAGAGTGATAGAACATAAAGATGATGGTTTAGAGAGATGCCCATTATTTTGGAGCTTTAAGGCGCTATAATTTGGTTTTAATCTGCAAAATTTCATGGAAATTTTGTAGGAAATCTCCACTTAATTAATGTATTTGGGGGTTGGTTAAGTGGGAATGAATTGACTCGATTTTTCAATAGAGCCACGTTCGTATTACTCCTCGTTTCTGTTTATGTTCAAAATCTCTTGATGATTCTCAATTTTTTTCCTACATAAAAACCATTTGAAGGAATAGTATTTATACATAAGAAGCCGCAAGATTCATCATTCTAAAGTTTCTCTTAAGATTCTTTTTTCCCTCTCCTCTTAATGAAAAATATATTTAAAAAATCAAGAGACTAAAATAGAATTTGAAATTTTTCTAACGTAATTAATTTATTTTTGTGTTAGTTTAATTATAATTATAATTATAACAGGAATTAAAGAATAAATATTTGGTAATATGCTTCTTAATTAAGCTATTCCAGTTCATTTTAACACTAGAATTATTTACAATAATTATTTTAAACAAAATTAAAGGATTTATCTGTATTATAATTGCTCACACACCTTTACAATTATAGAAAATCATTCTAGAAACCATGATTTTTCTATATTTCTAAAGAATAGTTTGACATGCTTAAGACAGATTTACATAAGCGCAGTTCTTATATTAATACCTACAGGCCTAAGAGATAAGTCAACAAATAACTCTACCCCTCATTTTATATATTGAATTATAACATTGTAGGCCTATAGGATCTTCTACAATGTCTTGGATATTCGTTTCATTCCATTAATTCTATTGAAAATTACTCCAGAAATCAATTAGAGATTTCACAAATTAGTCATTTCTGTCATCAACTGGAGCATCCTACTTATGATTTATGGGGAAGTTCGAATTGTCGCAACACTACAGAGCTAGTTAGGGTTTAATTAGTAAAGGGCCTATTATAGATATTATATTATATAGTGATATAGAATGACTTAATATGCCACGTCTACGTTCAATGGGAGGATTTCTGAATCGTCGCGCAGTGCTAGACGTTACTTTACCCCATTTAATGATTATAACATGCTAATATTTTGACTCGGTGCATTCAATGAGACCTGTAATGCCCCATTCTTTATCTTTTCAGCATTTCTATTATCACCAATAACGTGAATTCTGTGCCACGTTAGTCACTCCTAATCGATACGAAGCTCTTACACTGTTTTTACTGTCGTTATTTGAATAAATGTCTCATTTTCTATGATTTTTAAAAGTATACATTCAATTTTTATTGTTAATTGACTCTTAGAGACTAGAGAACGATTCCTTCAATCAAGTATGTTGATTGATCCCTCGCATCACTGATAAAGTTTAAATATCCATGTTTATAATGAGATTTGAAGCCTTCTAACCTCATTTTCTATAATAGAACTGCATATTTAGGAAGAAAATAAATGAATGTACATTAAAATTTGCATACATTTTAATGTATGATAAAACCTGTTACATTTTCTATGCTTAAATTAAGATATATGACACGGTTGGTTGGCTAACTCGTCTGCACTTCATGTAAATACTCGACAAGTTTGCGTGTTAAAAGACTTTTAAGTGCTTAAAATTAATTATAAAAAGTAAAATTTCATAATTTTATTCAATTTTCTTAAAAAAAATCGATAAATTTTGCGAAAATTTGATGAAAATTATCATTTTTGCGCGATCGAATGTTTACTAAAGGACGTGGGTTCGGATTCCTCTCGTGTCAGAAATACACTTTTTTTGATTCTGGACAGATTATTACAGGCTCTACATTGTTCTTAACACCCTAAACTACTAAATTACATATCTTAAAATACAATATCTAGAGGTATAATTGAAAAATTTAGGTACCTTTAGCGATATAATTCTTCAAAGATGCCAAATTTCTCTTTCACATTATTCAAAATTATAAAATTTCTCTCGTTATAGTCATTAAATATTGTAATTTTTCAGCTTATGTTGGACTTTTATAAGTCCTTTAGGACTTAATAAACTAGAATCTAAGCTGTCAATTAGTTAAAGGTTGTAGAAAGATTAAATCCTGCCAGTTGTTTACACTTAAATAAGCACTTCTAACTATCAAACAATTAGCTTTGTTTCGCATTTTAAATCGAAAAATATAAATTGGAAACGGATTTGGACACGCTAAAGACATACAAAAGGCCCTCTACTAAATAATAATGGATAATACACATATATTAAGGCGATGGCCCTAGTAGCACGAGGCCCTAAAGTATAGCATGTTTAGCTTATGTTATAATATAGGAACATAAATGCTGTTATTTTAACTGGAATTCGTAGGCCCTAATTTTTTACATATAATATAGGCCTAAGTTTAGAATATACACGTGTTTACTCAAAATTTTAGGTTATTTTTTGTATGTATGTAAAAGTCTACTGTTCTTTTGTAGACCTGCTAGTATCATTGTAAAGTGTCTAAATGTAACAGAAAAAGGCAAAAATCTTAAGAGTAGATAGGGAAATTATAAAATGTATGCTTATTTTATTAATTTAAAACATTTAAATACAAATAATAGTAATAAATTAACCTAAAGGAAGTATTTAAACTGCTTACCACTTGATTAACCTTTATCGATTTGAGAGTTACACCATAAATTCATAAATTATGGTGTAATCTACCTCATCTATAACTAATCTGTTTAATTTGAGTGTCTTTGAATGAAATTCTGCACCAAATTTTTATCTCAGGCCCTAGTTTTTTAAATTAATTTATATAAAAACATGTCTAACGACAGTTTCGAACACTAGAAAGATCTGTTAACTTGATAAACTATCAGTCAAACGTAACAAGATGACAAACAGAATAGAGGGGATCCTTTCTTACATCCTTTTCTCAAGAATTTTGATCTAATCTGAAGCGTGGCGTACTCTAAATTAAGTTATTTTTAAGCTCTAAATTGAACACGATATTTTTTGGGAGGATATTTTCAAAAATATTCTCACTACAAAGGAGCCTTCTTGTGATAACATAGCGCAGTCACCCCCTACTAAGCTATATATATATTTTTGAGAAGCATTATTAGAAGTCTAAACTATTATTAGGCCGTTTGGAGTGCTGTCGGTTGCGAATAACCTATATAAAATGGCTCAAACAAGGAGCAACTTGGAAGATTTGAGGCTAAGTTGAAAGACCCCCACTAAGCTAAATTTTGAGAAGTTTCACGTGTTAAATTATGTGTGTTTGGGTATATAAATGCTGAATTTAGCATAAAATTAGAGAATATTCTTAAAATATACGAAAAATCTTGAGTTACTCACGTTTATGGTACCCCTAGGACTACAGAACGAATGGCTTCAAACACGAAACTTTGGTGTTACGCTAGAGTGTTTGTTACGCTTAAAAAATGGGTTACTAAAGTAGAATTTTATAATTAAAAATCGGCGTTTTTTGGGGTAATTTCGGTGAAGTTTCGAGTAACGGAAGAGGCAACTGTATACGCGTCATACGTCGACCTTCTGGTGATTTGGCAGCAAGTGGCCTTCTATAAATGACAGGAATAGAGATAGTTACAACTCACCCATGTTTAGCGAGTCGTATATCCGTGTTGGCACAGACGTGGTTTGGTGTGGGTCAAGCGATGGATGGGTCATTCGTACTTAACGATACACGGCCATCTCGGTGAAGAGTACGTGGTGGTATGTGCAACCGCAAACATCTTTGAAGTACCGTCCGTCCCCCTCCTTCCATGGGGCCTGATTGGTTGCTGTGTTAACCGTGCTTCTGCCATCAGTCAGTGGCACACACGACTCCACCCCCTTTGTGCGTGCAGTGGGTGGGTCGGATTACCTAACGAGATCTCTACGGGATCGTGTTCCTACCGAAACAGGACGAGAAAACTGAGAACGTTTGTAAGTAGTTTCTTCCATTTTAAATCGGGATGATTCTACTGATATTGGAACCTCACGAGTTGGGGCTTTTTAAGACTATCTTCCGACCCTCCCTCCCTCTTTCCGCTGTTGTTAGGGGGTGTTTGTTTCTTCTTATTTATAGAATACCGTCACCTCTAACTGTTACTACCTTAATTTCATACAATAAACTCTGTCTAATCTACTTTTTAAGGCTTTTAATGGGGATTTAGTGTAATTTTGTAGAATATTTCACCCTGAACGTAGTACATTTTTCTCGGCATCTACAATAAGCATTTTGGTGCTTTTTAACAGGGGAGGAACCAATATTAGTGTGATTTAATAGGTTTACTGGCATATTTTACACATTTCTAGACTTAAAAATCGCGTGGACGTAGTACAGAAGGCAATTTTTCCCAGCATCTGTTAAGAATTTCATTCGGACAATCTCCTTATTTCAAAACGTTTTCTGTTTAAATTAACGTAATATCCTCTGATTTAAACCCACAATGACAATAAAAATGAAAGTTTTAGGCTCTCGTCATGGAAAAATTGGCATAGAATACACTGATATTGTGCCAAAGTGCAACGTACTCTACGAAGTTCTACAGGATTTTTTGAATTTTTAGACTTTTTTTAAACACTTGTAAACGGAATACATAGTCTAAGGGTTGGATTTAGAACAAGAGAAGATCTTATCTTTTACGCTCTTGACTTAATTTTACATAAGATCCTTCAATAGTTTTAATAGAACTAAAGATAACTCAAGCTATCGACAGATCAGATTAATACAGAGTTTTTTTGGAACATTTTCAAAAATTTTTTAAAGGATTTCTCTCCTATAATTAGATTATTTCTAGAAATGTTTACACTATTTTAATTAAAGTCTCGAGTACACCAATGTATCAAAATTCTACGCTATTTAATCTAAAGGTAGGGCAATAATTGAACACGAAACTTCTTTTATGCGGATTATTTAATGTAAGTTAGCGCATTCGAAGCTGCAGAGTCACGATTTTAATTTAATTTTGAAGATATTTGAGAGATTTAATCGTCAAGATCAATGTAGATTCTTGTCTCTGTAACTAGTTTAGATGTGATCTAGTCTTTATTTTTAATTTATTCAGGTAAATATAGAGGAAAAAAACCCTACAATTTACCCTTCTAAATATTTTTTAGAGGGGGGATTTTGTAGGGATGAAGAGGACAGGGATTTATATGGGAATTTGACGAAATTTAATCGGAAATAATCACCTTATTTAAACATTTAAACTATTCTAAACTTACAATAAACCTATTAATAATCGATCAGGATCGATTTCTTTCTTTCATTTCTGCCGAGAAGAATTTAATTAGCATCCTAAATGAAAGTTTTAATTTGTTTTAAATTTTCTAACTTCTAAAGTTTCAAAAACTTATTAAGCTTGAATATTTTTCCATTATCTTGTCAAAAGAATGCTGAAACAGTTTTATATTTAATGAGATTTGATCCTTATTCACTGAAGGAAATTCTTAGAATTCTCTCTAAATATAAAATTAATTGCCATTTTATAAACTATAACTAAATTTAATTTATTCTTTCTTAATTTAATCACACTTCTTAACATTTTAGAATGTTATTTCTTATGAGTTAACCTTGTAAAAAAGAGCCAAATTTTTGATGTAAGGCTATAAAATGCCTTAAAAAATACACATAATATAAGCTCTTGAGAATATTTGAAATTACTTCTGCGATTTTTAACAATAAAATTGACTAGAAATCAACCCAAAATTGCTCTATACGCAGTAAGGAGCATCTCAGATAGATCTGAAGAGACGGGGCTAATTTAACTTGAAGAATATACTCGAGAAACTTATTTATTTACTTTTTAAACAGAAAAAAAATCGCTTTGTATTTATTAACTTGGTAGCAATTTTAGAAAAAGTAATCTAAAACCGAATTGGTATGGTTAAGTGTTGCTACTCCAAGTGAACATAACAACAGAGTCATTAGAAAAGGCGAGAAAGACGATCCTCTTCTAGCTGCACTTCACCTGTCATCTTGCCATCATGGCGACTTTTGAGAAATGTTTGACACAACAAAAAAACGTCATCACTAGTGTTTTTCTTCTTTAATTTCTTTGTGTTTTTCTCATTTAATTCGTCTTTTAAATCCGGCTGATCCGTGGATCTTGTGCTCGTGTTTTTACATCTTTGCCAATTATCAGCGCTGCTTCAATAATTAAATTCGTGTTTTTTTTTTGTAAAAATAGTTTTTAATCTGTTATACACAATTTTCTTTATATTTTTGCTTTAAAAAAATAATAAATAAATCGGCATTTTCGTTATTCCAATTCATCATCACCACTATAAAACTGAGTCAAGTACACTCGCTTGCACTTGAATTTTTCTGTGATTAAAATTCTAATTTTTTTCGAAAAATTTAATATAAAAAGCATCACATTTAATGTTTTTTTTTATGTGTTTACGTCTGTCTATCTTTTGATTTAGCATGTAATGATTAAGGATTATGTACTGTACTGTACTTCCTTTACCCCTTTTTTCTTTATAATCTATACTCCATCCATCACTAAACTGTCTACAAACGATGCTAATCAGTTTTTTTAAACAGGAAAATGTAAATTTTTTATTGATTAACTTCTCATTTTTCCTTACTTATCAATTAAATTCCCTTTGACGATGGATTTATTCCTCCATTGAAACTTCATCTATCATCCCGCTATCATTGTGAAATGCTTATCAGTTTATTAAGGTTTTCTTTGATTTCTTTGATCTTCTAACCGCATTTCTTTTTAAATTTAAACTTTAATACAAACGATCAAAGCATAAACGCCCATATATTTGCATTAGTGTCAACTGTCTTCGCCTCATAATCTATAGCTTCTATCCATCATTGAACTGTCTAAAAAAGTGGGTTGGCCCGTTTTTTTTAATGGAGTTTTTATCCATTTTTTTAATGTTAAGCAATTAAATCAATTAAAAGAATGATTTATTCTAGATTTAATTTGAACCGTATCAAATTTTTCATGTAATTTTTTTCCTTAAGTGAAACGTTCCTCTTAAGTAAACACACTTTGAATTGTGGTTTCAATTGTACGATTGATACAAGAATTCTCCATCCAAATGAAAACAAAATGTCAACGTAACTTGGATATTCTAGATCGAAATGTAGGTCTTGTATTATTCTATAATAACTTATTAACATTCGATTACACATTTTAATCTAACTGACAATGAAATTCCGAACAGAGTACAGAAATTCGATAGGATTTCTTGCGGTTTCTGACGTTTAAAATCATGTTATATTGCATTTATACTAGAGAAAAATAGATTTAGAAGAGAAATTCGTGGTCAGGAATTCGCGATTTGCCACACCAAAGTGGAAAATCTGGAGCATCTTGAGATGCTTATCTGCCACGCTTCTCCAAGAGCACCTGCCATCAATAGAAACTTCCTTGTTTAACCGCTTGTCACCTGTCAATTATATGTTTTTCGATGTGTTCTCCGCTTCTATGCAAAAAAGAAAAGAGGCTTTCTGTTTTATAACTCCATAAATCTGTGCCCTTTTTTTCTGATGATGACCTATGACATATCGCTCTCTAATTAGATTGCGTCGTTCTGGTATCTGACCTCTTAACACAAGCTTCGTCTGGAGATGTTGGGATGTAAGACGGGATGTGTGGGAATTACACTCATAAATTTGAAATTTTTACTGATATTTCTAATTCTTAAATTGAGTTTTTATGTAGTAAAACTGTTCAGAAAATAACGAAATGAGTTTCTAGCATTACGCTTCTAAATATAAATCTACCTGTATATTATTACTTTACTCAATAAGTAAGAATGTTTATTGACTCGTTAAGGCTCTGAAGAGAAGTTTAGGATAGAAGAAATGAATTTTTTTCCTCATTCTCATCCTGTAGTTTCTTCTTTTCTTCTTTTAATTCACCTTCTACTTAGCCTTCTTTACCTGTATTTTCTGCTCTTCTATTCCTCTTTCCTCTTATCCTTCTCTTCTGTTCTCTTTTCCTTATTCTTCTCCCATTCTTTTGCCTGTATTTAATCTTTCTACACGCTTACAATTGATATTCTCTTTCTAACTTACGAATGTCACTCGGATTTGTTATTCCTTAAGTTTAATTAATCATATATCAAATTTATAACCCCATTTACAGAAATATATTTCATTAATTTATGAATAGGACTATATTTTAGTAATTAATAATATTAATTTTCTACTTTTAGTGTTTTTAATCACCAAAAAACAATTTTTTCCTCAGCTAAAATTAATCAAACTCGACTGGTTCTCGACCTTTTCAATGTTATAATATGCAAGTTTGTACCCGTTTAATTATCAAAAAATTATTTATTTTAGACTATTTATGAGTGTAATTTGTAATAAGAACGTGATTTATTTTAATTATCATCTCTTTAATCATCGCTAACCGCTAGTAATATAAAATATGGCCGAGATCTTTAATGGATCGACTAAGAAAATACAATTTTCTTCATAGAAACTGAAGCAAATCTAGAATTTAATATTATAGAAACCCCAAAATTGCTTTTTATACAAAAATAAAACTAATTTACAACTTAATTAACCATTAAAAAGTGAAAAATCGCCGATTTGTTTACTAATTTGCAGCGGAAAGAAGCGATAAATTAGCCTTTTCTGAATACAATTCCGTACCAAAACTCTCTGAAATTTATTAGATTTCATGCCAATCTTTAATTTCTTTTATAATTATTTAAATTTTAAAGATAATTTTCATCGTTGCTCGGTTATCTCCTAAGATTTCAATGGTCTCGAATCGCATACAGAGATGGAGGAGAGGAAGAAAAAATCCCTCTTCAGATCCCTAAAGAGCGGAATATATAAGTCGACTCATAAAAAAGTACCACCCACATTAGTTAAAGAGGAAACGAATGGTGGAAGAAGAAGGGAGAAAAAAATTGTTCCGCTTCCATGGTCTCTGTTCTAACCCCCTATTTTCTC